AGAAATGATACCACAGTGCAGTATAAATCAAATACTGCTAATATATTTAAATTAAAGTCTATCAAATTAATTTCTATATTAAAGATGATATAACTGTAAGGTACTTATGTGTCTGGTAATGGTTTTATGAGTACAGGTACTATGTATGGACACATTTTGTACATCATACACAATCTTTTAACATGACAAACATGGAATATTGTAGATTCGTAAGTAGTGTGTGTAAACAGAATTTGTGTGTAATATACAATGATTTTGAACATAGTATTTTTCTATGTTGCACTATTGGTGTAAAATGTGTGTCTTGTATTAATAATGCAATACATATAATCAATGCTTGTTATTTCACATGGTGCAAATGCATACTTGTCTATAGATAAGTAGTTATAATATGATATACATTTCAGTTCACTGATGTATGTGAAATTTGTTAAGATCCATACTGTGTGTTTAATATCTCTTAGCATGTTGTCTATGGATGTTTACATACAATAAATGTTTCTGAGTAATGTTCATATACCACTAAAATCCAGTACAACTTTAACATTGGTTACACATGTTGTTTAGTGTACTGTGTTATTCCATATTCATAAACTGTAATATGTTGTAGTATTTTAATAAATATAACATTAACATTAACAAAACTAGTGTGTATTAAGATAGTGTGTTGTCATGCATAAATTACACCAGTATCTTGGGTGTTAGTTCCATGATTTAATCATGTGTTATGTTATGTTAATAAATGTATTGCATCATACGTGTCATGTAAATTACGTTATACAATGTCATATAATCATTTGCAACTGTACCTGCATGTGATATATTCTATTATTATTAATATACGTCAATTGCATTTCCTTTTGTATTATGTGATATATTAAAATGTGAAATGAATAGGCTAGAGAAATTTTACTAAAACCTAAAGGCAATACAATATATGATATATATATATTAACACTTCGTATGTACATTAAGTTGGTTATTTCATTTATTTTTATTTATTGAGTTGTTAACATTTGAGATGTGAGACCTTGTGAACTCCTGTGTATATTTATTTCATTTTTATTTTTGATAACAAATTCAAGAGTCAAGTATGTTTTTTCTTTGTGTGATATATTTACTATGCAAGTGGACATGTTTTTTGAAGTATTAATTTGTACTGTGTTATGTAGATGATCCCAAACATGCAGCAATAACTTGTTTAAGTCAAGGAATTAGATGATTTGTATAAAAGTGCATTTGGTTGCAGCTGTTGTGAAAAGTGTATTCATTGAAGCAATCCCAATTTATGTTGATTACTCTAAACACCATGAATGTTTTTACTTCAACATTATATTGTACCTTTCTGTCAGATTGTAGAATATGATTACATATAAGCACATTATGATTATGTGAAATTGGCCCGTTTTATAATGGAAAATCTGTCTTGAATGATATTGTTTCTGAAAAGTAGTTAAAATACACAATGTGAAAATATATGTACACCTATTATCACTTAAAGTAATGGGATTGCTGGACGTACACCAGAACACAGCTAATCTGTTTGTGTACCCTTCCAATGTTTTTATATATTTCGGTAGAAGAGTGAAAATATTTTCAGTGATTTAGGAAGCAGATATTATTTAAATCATTGAAAGTATGTAATTCAATCAATGCTACCATATGCGTTTTGCTATGATATATATATGTATTTTTATCTGTCAAATCATATATTGCTTTAAAACTGTAATACCGGTATAATGTGTGTGTAATTGTTCAATACATAGATCTAAAGTAGTACAGGTATGTGATTGTCTGGACAAGCTGTGATTATTCAGTAATTTAAACGTTATGGGAAACATACAACTTTAAACAACACAACAAATCTTTGTTCCCCATAACCCGAACTGTTAATTGAACATAAAGTTACAATTTGGTCGTGGTTTCGCAAAAGTGTGCGTGGCTTTTGAAATATGAGTGTGGTCATTTGTAATTTTATGTTCGTAACTCGATGTCTGTAACTTGTAACAATTCAGCATCTCATTAGAAACATATTTATTCACTAATACAATGTTTGCAACAAGCTTATAATGACTAGTTTGTTACAAACTTGGTTGTATCAATAATTTGCAACAAGCTTGTATTGCTACATTGTAAAATAAAACGTGTCATATTCTTTCTGTAACTGTACTATGCTTCAATACAAGAGGTTAAACAGACTCTACCGCCCTATTCGAGGAATAGTAACTTATTTAACCTTACATTCTTTATCCCCAGTCTGTGTTGTATTGTGTACTTATGTGAGTCTACATGTTATGTTTAGACAATGGTCATGTAGACAATAATAAAGTTACCATTATAAGTATCATTATCTGTTTTTGTTTTCTGTCAACTTTCCAGGATTAGATTGATGAGGTCAAATATCACACTGGAGGAGGATAATAAGGATCATGACATTGCAACAACTACAAGTGACATTAGTGATAATTAATAATGCATAATTGATTCCTGAACATTTCTATTACCGTTATCCAAATATATAATAACTTTTTCAGTCTTTTTGTGATGTAGTCAGTAGCAGAAATTCGTGTTTTGGTTATGTGCATTTGTGTTCGTGTCTGACATCATTTTTGGACTTGTCTGGACTGATCTTGTTCGAAGAAAATCATGAAGGTTTACACATGCACATATGCAGATTGGATTTTTGTCTTTGACCAATTAGTGACCATATTTATAGCAGAAAATCTCTGAAATCAACATTTGAACGTGTCATCACTTGTTTCCAGGGTATACAATGGTAGTATCTGACCACCACGCAAACACCCTGTAGTTCAAATCACAATCATTGCAAATATATTTTGTCCATCATTGTTGAACAGACTCGTCTAATTTCATTTCTCTTTGATTAAAATGCCAAACCGGACTTCCACATTGAAGAGCTGACTAACGAGTGTAATGTGTAATAATGTATTAGTTGTCATGGTTATATTGTTGCCAAAAGTTCTTCAAAAAAACCCCAGACCTTAGAAAGAGTCTATGAAAAAACTAAATTGTCTAATTCGCTCTCTTAATTTTTGTTCTAATGTGTTAATGAATAATTTTTTTTGTCACACTGATTACTCAAATCATCATTGAAAATTAACTGTCCAATTCCGAATTGTGCATTTTCAGCCCCCCTTTCAAGGTGTTTTATCAAAGATAGATGATATCTTACATTTGTTGGCAATGAAATGCATCTCTCATTCCATCCAAATTATTTTGTAATGCAAAAAAGTCATTAATAAAATAGTAGATTTATATATTATGGCATCGTCGGAAAACGAGGCAGTTTTACCCCGCCTACAAGTACTGATGGTAAACAATTAATATATAGTAGAAACAGGGAAGGTGCCAAAATGGAACATCAGATATAACCGGGAGCTAGTCGGGCGTGTAACATTGTACTAAAACTCTCTGACTGACTGCGATTATTTACATGATAGCATACATACCCAAAAGCTTTAGCAAACTCGAAACAAATGATGTCCGTTTGACAGCCCAGAACCGTCCCTGGAGGACCCTGTGCTCAGATTGATGATTTTACGGCTTTACTTCGTCATAAAGGTAATTTAAGATACGTTTTTATCGTCTTATAGCACTTTATCAATGACAGGCAAGAGAATGGCAACCGAGGTGGCTCACAACATGACATTTTATAAAAAAAATTTTAATTCATTTCCATTTCGACCCGAGAATCGATTCTTGTAACTCGATTTCATTCGAAAATCTATTTTCTTTTTTGAAATTTGTTTTTCGAATTTATTTACGTTTCTAGAATCTATATCATTTTTTTTTTCATTTCTAAAATACACTTTCAATTTATTTAATTTAGTTGCCTAACTTTATTTTCGTTTTAAAAATCTATTTTCATTTTTAAAATCCATTGTCGTTTTTTCGTTTTTTTAAATATTTTTATATCTTTGAAATCAATTCACTTGTGGCTATCTCCTGGTAGCTTGTTCATATGCTCATTATTAAAAACTGAATAATTTAGATTTATTATGGGCCTCATTCGCCACACGGCCCATGTTCATTTGATAATTTCACACTTAGAACACACAAAATACCACCATTCTTTGAAAGCTGTTATTGATTGCTCTCCCATGACTGAGAATTATAGTACTTTTTATGATTCTACAATTTGACAAATCGTTTTCTGAATCATCAAGCCTATGCAGTGAATTTAAATCTCGTATAAATATGCTAATTAATTGCTTTGGTAACGAGACCCATCCACATTTTCAAAACCTCTGACGTTCTCAAAAATATTCATTCCAATAAATGATCTTTGAAGACATTTAAAATTGTAAACTGTCGTGAATGTTTCAAGAAATAAATCGTCAAATTTGTTTTTGAGGTGGACAATTTTAACCCTTTCCGGAACAAATACGTGAAAGGGTAAACATTCTCATCAGGTCAATTCATGAATATTACAAGTTACGTGGGATATATTTATGCAGGCAAAGCATTTAAGAATGAAGTCAAACTCGGACTATAACACACACCGCAATGTATAAATAATATAATGTTTAACACCGAAAATATTTTAGACAGATATAACGTGCTTGAGTTAGGCTGAGGAAAAAAAATATCTCTGATTCTCGTTTCCGCGCGCATCATTTTGAACAATGCGCCTCGAACGCCTTTCTAAAGCATTCCAAAATGCGCTTGTACCCGCACTTGTCTCAAATTTCTCCCATTTTAGCTCAGTGGGCGTGCTTACTCGTATCGGTTTGAACTAAGTCCTCTCCACACATCCGGCGCCACTGCTTACCCATTAGTGGGCGTGCTTACTCGTATAGGTTTGAACTAAGTCCTCTCCACACATCCGAGCCACTGCTCACCCATTAGTGGGCGTGCTTACTGCTTACGTGCTCGTATACCCAAATGCTCAGTATAACTAAGGGTACATGCTACAGAACTCGACGCCATCCTGAATCCTGGTCACTCACGTATCAAAGAAAATTACCAAATTACGATGTTCAGCTATAAACATTTATATTGTTCCGTAGTATAGGTTTTAAAGGTTGTACGTCGACTTTCGTATGACTTTCTCTTTGCACGGCAACTGCAATAATCACCGTACTGAGAATAATAAGACCAGTACCAACTATTTCCAGAACCACTACGGAATCGTGAAAAACAACAACACCGGAAACAAAGCTTACTATCACACTGATATTTCGAACAACTGTAATTGTCGATGCTTTCTCTATTTGCAGAGCACGGTTAATACAGTACATACTGATGAAATACGTCACATTCATTCCAAATAAGTATGCCAGGAGAATCGGATTGTGGATTAAAACGCTGAAAATACACATAGCATCAGAACATGTCAGATATACTACTGGTAGTGAAAACACTGCGCCAAATATTCCATTGAAGAATGGTGGAACTGTCAGAGGAAGGTTTGATTTCATAGCACGTACACATATTATTCCACATGCCGTACACAGTGAAGAAGTGATGCAATAAACGTAACCAATCATCGGTTTGCTGTCTGCTCGACTTGATACATCGCCAAAAAGAAACTCAGGACGTGTGATGAGCACAATACCTGTTATATTCAACAAAATACTTAACACACCATGTAGCTTGATCTTTTCTCTCATTAATATACTTGTAAATAACGATACAACAATAATGACTGTTGCAAAGTAAATGGCCAAGCTGTCTCCAATACCAATAATGTGCATAGCATAATATGCTAGAATATCTGCAATTGTATCAGCAACACCTTTCAAGCAGTTCAGCACAACATCTTTCTTTCCAATACTAGCTATATTGATATCGTTATATATCATTATAGGCGTTGTTACTAAAACTACTACAATTGATTTGATGAGTACTATTGGGAAGGAGTATCCGGCCTTGATACAATACAGTGCAAACACATCGGATATCGCAACAGTGATACCACCAGTTAGTCCCATTGTGATTCCGAAGTAAGCATTAAAGTTGACTAGATTACATTCTCTGCACTTTGATTCAGTACCTGTTTCTGCTATGGTATTTTGTGTTCTAGTATCCTCTTCTAGTCCAATTGATAACGACATTCTCGCTTCTTTGATTCGAATATGTTACCCATTTAGTTTGATTAATGTTGAAACGACCAATGTACTATGTAGAATTAATGATGCAATTACTTGGTATGTTTGTTCTAACTGTTAGCTATATAACATGTTCCTAGGATATACAGCTGTAGATAGTACACCAACATATGGAGTAATAACGAATGTTCAAATACATCCACCTTTGAAATACCACTAGCAAGTCGTCACAGGTTTGTAACCTATAGTATTCCTGTGATATGCTTGTAGATTTCATGGCTCCAATATACTAATATTTGACGTGATTCTCACCAACAGCCGTCCTGTCATGCATGCTATGATATTCCAAAAACAAATAATGATGTACACACAAGCACTGTTTACCAGTAATATTAATAGTTCGTCGATTATTGTGCCTGATATAACATGGGTAAGATATCTATATATAATATAATCAGCCAACGTGGATCGGATATGTACAGGTAACAAAACCTCAAGAAAGCATTGGTGAGGCATGCAATCCTTACCATTAATGCAAACCATTTGAAATAATGTAAATGGTACAGGAACATTTAAATCGTATGTAATTCGTGTATTAGCGATTTTATTTAGTATTGGGCATTTGAAGTTACTGTGGCGTGTGTTGTCGATAAAGATAGTATATTTGGTATGTGTCAGTTGTTAGGATGTGGTATTTTCTTTGAATTTTTTTAAATACCCACATGTAATGTAATAGTTTGAACGTTTTTATTCATCGGATAAAATTATTAGCATAGGTATCTATAGTAGACAACATTACTATGTGGTAAAATTAGAACCAAAAATCTACACAAAAAAATCAAAATAATAAATCAAAATAATAGATAATGCAAAAAATAATAGATACATTAACGAATACACAAATTATCAGATTAATGAATAAAATAATAGACAATTAAACAACCGAATAAATCAAATAATACATTAAATAAATGAATAGAAAAATAGATACATAAAATAAATCAGTAAATAAATAAATAAATACAAATCGTGGAAGCTTTTAAACACGAATTTAAAACTGTATTTGTTATAAAAATAGAACAAGAAAAAACCATCGTTCGAATCGCACGGTTTCGCTAAAGCCATGGAAATCGATTTTACTGTGCAGCATTGAGTACGATGTAAAATGTTTACCCAATGTTAGAAATACCTAAAACTCAGATAGTGTTAACTAGAGTTAAAACTTATGAAATTTCAACATACGAACATAAGGTGTATGTGTGACCAACAAGACTGTATCACTTACCGACTACTCTACCAAGCTCCATAGTGTACATTGCGACGAGCAACAATTTGTTTAATTTGATATTTCATTTCTCGTTGGCAATCATGTCGGCCATCTGCCAAAAATATATACGGTTGGACACGAAATTAGTGATAGCGCGAGTGCAGAATTGTGTTGAAATTGACTGCACTAACAAATCGATGTATGAAATGCCCCGATTGGTCAATAAAATGGGTTTGGGTCAGTCAGTCTTTGGATAAAATTCATTATTCAGATTTTAAAAAGTGATTAGTTCGACGCTTTGAATTTGAATAATCCGAAGACAGCTTCGTAACAATGGATGAGCAAGATGATGTTGTTGTTTTTATGGCAAATATTTATTTTTAAAACTGACATTTCTTACAATGTCGCGATGGTTGGGAAGAAGTGTCCACTACTCAGTCTTCAGAGCTTCGCCATTCAGGTATTATTGGAATAGATATCCCAAGCACGTTGGCACCATTTCCCCCCGGTGCTCCTGTTTAGTGTTGAACAAACAAAATGGCGACACATACGCCTCGAGAATTCTATGATATAAAACCAAATCCGTTTTCAATAAAAGTTTTGTGTGTTGTAAAATCAAAGTTGTGTTGCGGTAAATTAAAGTTCCATTGCGAGATTTCCATTTTTTGTGTCGTGAGAAAATATTGCGTTGAGAGAATTTAAGTTTTGTTTTGTGAATGAGTTGGGATGAAAGAAATTAATGTTGTGTTGTATGAATTCAAGATTTTGTTTCGTAATTTTGTTTTGTGAGTTTTGTTGTGCGAATTTAAAGTTTCATTTTGTTTATCAAACTTGTTTTTATAAATTAAGTTAGTGTTACTGAAAGTTAATGTATTTGACATCTGCCGGTCGATAAGTAACTGAAGTAAAATGGTGTATATGAAAATAAACCAGAAAAAACGAATTTTAATCAACGTGCAGTGATTGTATAACATACGATTGAAATATACCACTCACGTTAAAGTGTACGTACCTAAAATTCAAATATACCACTCACATTATAGTATATTTGTAAATCACAATGCAGCTATATGTTGCAGCGGTCTACCCGATTCCAAAACGTCAGTCAGACTGAAAACCAGACTATTCTAATTAATAGTCGCTCAGTGTGACAGCGGTTTTGTAATGGGCTGGAGAAACACTAAATACATTTAATTATTTTCAAACATTTTATCAGTCAGAATTAGCTATGTCTCACACACTAAACAGACTACCATCCAAAAGTACCGCACAACAAAGTCAAACTCACAATTACACTTTCCGCAACCAGAACATTCACAGATACGATACAATGAAACAAAAGAAAACATTAAAAATAAATACAAAATAAAATAAAATTTCCAAAGTTAATAAAAAATACGATCTAAGGGCTGATTAAAACTGCTAACAACTTGAATATAAATCTATTTACCCTGTTCAGAAATGTTATTAAAAGGAGATAATACGTGTAGAAAAAAAGAGTTGTGAGTTGTGACATTTTTCCTTCGAAAAGGCAAACGAAAAATGAATTATGTCTAAAGGTGCGCTGAACATTAAAAGGTGTACGCTTTCTCAAAAAAACAAAAACAATCCATATTGGCATGAAAACATCTATTCTACCACTAAACTACATATATCAATGTACCTGCAAACGAATACTGTAAATTCCTCTTATAACACCAGAAACCGTGACGTTTATGAATTAACAATGTATGTAAGATGGGATCGAACGCCTTGTTGAAAACAACATAGATTGAACCAGTTTGACTAATGTTATTATTAGGAAATAAATTCATATCTTGTTTTCTTAAAATATATCAATAGCACTACTGCGTTTAAAAATGAAGGGGAAATTCCAGAGATGTGAGATTTATTGAGAATGAAGGTTAAAGCGGGGGA